CGGACCGGTTGCCGAGGGGTCCGTTGCTGGTCCGTTGCTGGTCCGTTGCTGGTCCAAAGCCACTGCACACCTGCTCTGTATAATAAAAGCTTTATTTGTAGAGCACTTTTCAACACGGGGAACAAAGAGCTTTAAAACAATCCATCTGTCAATAAAGGAAAATAAATGAGGCGTCACACAGTGAAAGCTTTTTGTAGAAATGTGTCTAAGAAGTGAGATGAAACCAGGAGCAGACTCTGAGCCTGTAGGGGCCCTGACAGCAGAGACCCTGTCCCCTTTGGCTTTGAGCCTAGACTTTGGAGCAGTTAGCAGAGCCCTACTAGAGGATCTCAGTCTGCGTCCTGGCTCATATGGGGATAAAAGCTCAGAGAAGGTGCGTGCCCATGTCTGGCCTTAAAAGTGATCAGAAGGATTTTAAAGTGCGTCCTAAAAGAAATATCTTTAGTTTTATATCATTACATCAACAATTGTGTGGCTGCACAGTTACAACAGTGGTACTCACTAAATGTTGGTTTAGGATACAGACCATTGGAATAACATGAAACTTTCCTCTTTCATTGAATGTAGAGTTATGACCAGCAGGGGGCATAATAGACTAGCCTATACCCTTAATCCTGATGAAATGGTAAAATAATGACAATGTCCTGATTTTAACCAGGTGCTCGCGGTGGGAAACTAACATCATTTAAGATTAATTATCGACCAAGTCTTAATTGATATAGCTGGATATATCATACAGCAACAAGAAAGCAGTGTGAATACCATTTAAACTGCCTACTGAAGTCATTTCATTAACAGAAACGTTACAATGTTTCCATCTGCATCTGACTCTACATCAAAAACACCCACAGAGCTAGACAACCACGAGAAAGGTTTTTATTTCAAAGATACCCCATCAATTGCCCGTCATTGGCCCATGGGTTTATAATGCAATCCAATAAAACACCAGCAGAATAACCAGAGATCAATATCTTCCTGCCTAATCTCAACAAAAAATATCATTATATCCTTCAAAAACACAACATTTATTGCAGGGCTACATTAGGTCCAAAGCCTGTAAATGCCAAGAGTGAAAGTAACCCCTACAGCCATCCCATATGCCACTGAGGGCTCAGCTGCAGGATTTAGCACATTTTCTGATGTGTAAAGAGGACACGGTATCATATCAAGTCTGGCATTTCTCCACAATAGCGTATTGCAGCGGTGCATTTCAAGGCAGATGGAGTTGCTTGAGAGGTGCAAGTAGAGAAGACACGGGGTTGAACTCAATCGACTGTTAGGACGTCTGTACGGGTTTCTGTTTACATGGTGCAGAAAGGCATTAAATAAATTAAACAACGTGACAAGCGCTGTGTCTTGGCGAGGAGAACGAGGGATGAGAAAGGTAGGTGTCTCAGAAGGACCATCTCTCCTGTTTGCGGCGTCCATGTAGAGGGTGGATACTCTGATGGGGAGTTATAACTAGTGGACTCCTTATTTAAGTCCTATTGCACACGATGCTCAGGCTGTTCTGTGACCTTTGTCTGGTAAGTCAAATATACCTCAGCAAAATCCCACACTGCTAATGTTAAATGACTGGTATAGTAGGGCAACTTCAACATGGGTGAACTAATTCTGCATTTAGCATCTAATAATGTTTAGTTGATTGTAATTTCACATTCCTTTAAGGCAATTCTAAAGGTAAAGCTGGCAAAATGATATATATACGTGCTTATTGTTTGTTACTGTAAGTGCCATTAACCTCCATTCCTCTCCTAGAACACATTAATTCGTCACGTATTTGCACTGGGAAACACTGTTCCTTTATTACAATAAACAATAGGAAATGTTTATTTTTAGTCGACCCCACATAAATGTTTCTACCAGGTAGCATGTTCTAAATTCCTTTAGGTCCTAATGCCTGAATGAGCACTGTGAATATCATATCAACTATTAAATGCCATTAAGGATCTGTTTTGTGAGTTTATTTTACAAAAGCTCAACTCTCTTTGTTATGACTCACCAGTTCCAGCCATGGTACTATCCATTCTGAATGAAAGAAGTGGTTACAGGGCAGCTGTCTGAATGGCTCTCCCACTGCGAAGTTCTCTCTGTGCACTGGACACTGCACACAGCAGTCTACAGGAGAAAAGAAATGTTTATCAAGACCCCTGTGGTTACTAGGGGTGGGGAAAATAAGTACATAAATCGATACTTCACAGGGTTATTATTATCAATGTGCAACTAACAGACTGTATATAAAAAGCAACTAATGATTTTCACTCGCACAGTGTGAGCACGGTAACATTTAACAATTGGCTCCCTCTCCTCATTCTGCAAAGGACACCTACGTGACAGGCAGCAGAAAATGACAAGCGAATGTGAAAGCAAGAGGAGCAGAGGAAAATACGAGCAATAAGCTGTCAGTGTGGCAGTAAAAGGCGGAGTGAACATGGTGTGGTTGGAGCATTGTAAAGTGCGTAGTTCAACATGTATCTGCATCTATACTAATAGCAGCAGCATCAGAAATAAAAATAGCAGCAACAGGAGTCACTAATAATGCTATGTAGCTACATTTATAGGACGTAAAGTTAGCTCCACTCACTTTTGTCTCTAAACCTGCAATCAGACACACGTGCTGTCAGTTTATCCATTTTGTCTTGCAGCCATTCACATTTCATACTGACAGATGGGAGAGGAGAGATCTTCTCTATCAGCTGGAGGAGGGCCTGTGTTCTGCAACTGACCCAGTAACTACACTGACAAAAACACATCTGTGAGCTGCAAAGAAATGAAAAGGTGGCAGGGACATAAAGTTTGAGTTAAGTTCTATTAAGTTTGGTTTACCTGTGTTATCACGGCATCTAACCCTCTCATTCCTCAGGGATTCATTATCCCCTGGATTAGAGTGCAGGATACCGTCCTGAGAGAGACAGACACCACATGTTAATTAGAAACAATGCTTACACTGCCACTAGACCTTACACTGTGAAGCTATTATAATGTAATCTTACCTTGAGAGGGGAGGTAAGCTAGGGAATCCAGAGTTGGCAAAGAGACTGGCAAGAAACTGTTGTATAATCCTGAGACACAGAGAGAAATATACTGTCATCAAAAAGAAGAACAGTTGGGATTGTAAGAGCATAAATGCCACTGTTATTATAAATGGGTGTATGCAAGGCGGAGAAGAGAGCCAAGAGGAGGGTAAAGAAGACTGAAGCTGAACTGCTCAATTACTCCCCCCTCCACAGCAGGTGAGCGGTCTGGTCTACCGGTATCTCCTCTAGCTGACACGGAGAGACTGACTGGGAAACAACAAGGGAACAGTACAGAGGCATGGCCAAAACATTATCTATGGCTAGACTACCAATCGGTCCCGCCAGAGTGTCCACATCCTGGACTTGTCGCGTCTGTGCACGGCTTGGACCGAATCGGTTAGCAGGAACTTTTACTCTTTCTTGCCGATTCAGAACAGGAACTGCAGCCGCAGCCCCTTGTTGAGCAGTGTCGGATCCAAAAATCTCTGCCATGGCTGTGAGCGGTTGTGTTTGCCTCTGAAGACGTCCTTGGACAAATATCTGATATGGCGAGGCCAACAGGGCGCGAGCCACGGTTGTTCCGTTGTTGCCTGAAAACCTCCAGGTCCCGGTTAATCCGTGGCAGGTAAACATAATGCAGCGCCACAAGTGCAGCTCATTGGTACAGTCAATGATTCTTTCATTTTCAAGGAAGGTGAAAAGCTGGTGGTCCACATTAGTCATACCTCTCCAGAGATCTCCCCAAAGCCTCTCCATCCGCTGGTTATGGACACTTCTGCCCCGGATGGCACTTCCTCTTTCTAATCCACGGTAAATGTTCATGAACAAGCAGACAGCATTGTTTTCTCCCCCATGGTCACACCTTATTCGAGACTCCATACCTAGCAGTGGCTTGAACAAACTGGTCAAACACTGTGCAACTTCTGTTATTATCTGAAGCCTGCAAAACACAACCGGCCTGCTGAAGCCACAGATTCCGCCATGGATCACTATTCTCCATCTACAAACGAAACAAAAAGCTGTTATTCTGTGTTAAGATTACATTAATAAATTCAGGATACTATGCTTACCCCTGCCAAAAATATAGGGTGCAGTCAAAGTGCAATTTTGTACATAATGCAGTGTTTCCCGCAGAATATTCACTCTTAAAGTGAAAAGCTTGCACTGAAGAGGCCTGTAAATGATTCTGTTAGTTGAGTGTTTAGTCTCACTGTAACTAATTTATCATCCGCATATACCTGATGAGTTTGTGGTTCCCATCTATGTGCCACAGCGAGTTGGGTCCTGCAGCACTGTAGGTTCTCCGGTGCAGTCGGTGAGACAACGCTCTGGATTCACTCCAATCAAACTCTCTCTCACTCTTCTCCTCTGCACTCAAACAGCCATAGCAGCCAGTCTGGCCAAAACAGCATTTGCTCCCATCTCTTCATTTTCTCCAACCGACTGCAGCTTGACTTGACTTCATCAAGTTCTGCATTAGAAAGACGTGCAGACCTCATCAGGTAGGGCAAGTTGAAGCGCCTGGGAGAGAACAGAACTCAATTTCAATCTGAGTGTATTTGCATTTTACTGAACGTGACCATCTTACACAAACTTCTGATAAAGATAACAGCATCAATAATAATAGCAGCTTCAGTAATAACTACACCTTGAAGAAAAAAAAAATGTTTAAAAGTTTCCTCAAGAACGTTTTTCCTCAATAATAAACTAAACCAAACTATTGGTTTGGAGTGTAAAGAACATGGCCATTGGTTTTCATGCTCAGAATGACCAAGTGTGTCACCCAAATTTAATGTCTGACCTATATGCATTACATTACGATACTGAACTTTAGCTTATTCCACTTTACCCACTGCCAGCTTGAGAAGTCTACCCATTTCACTGAACATATAGTAAGATAGAAAACAAAAATCTAGTGAATAAATTGACAAAAGAACACAATATTTTGTGTACGCCTTGTAACTGTTGTTCATACCTCAATCTTGGTTTAACTGTACTGACTGATACATCCAGGATTTCAGCAATTTGCGTAGCTACAAATCCACATGAAAGCAGGAATCTCAGGTGTTCTTCAGTGATTAGGTAGCTGGATCGTCCAAAATCACCTGTCCGGACCAATGGGGCTTGATACCCGGAGGTCTCTAATGCTGCCAAAACAGAATACATGACCAGATATGAACCAATATGCATGCCTGTCAGCCACTATTATCAAATTATTGTTTTATAAGGCTCATTTAAAATCGACACAGCAGACAGGACGCAGCATTCTCTCATGATTAGAGCTATATTTGATTACACTCATACAGGTGAAGTTGTGCAGGTGCAGGGATAGAGATGAGATGTTGATGGCGGTGTATTACCCTGGTGTTTTTAGCCTGTGGAAAAACCCTCTACATTTAATGTAGTTTACCTTCAAATACAATTTCTGTCTAAACATAGGAATGAAGTAATAAGTTACCACTGCTTTGCTGCTAAAGGTGCAAGGAAACTTGCATATCATGCACACAGATGAGGGATGAGGCCAGCCGACTTCTTTGTTCCACAGGTGAGCTGGCTGCCTGATTGGCTTACGCTGGTATTCTTACCCTCGAGTGGTTGGGTACGACCAGCCGTCTTATTTTAGTTTATTTTTATTAGGGACCAATACATCTAACATAGATAAACTAAATAAAGGAATCCGATGTGTGTACCATAGTGTTTAACACCCGTCCCTAGAAGGGCTTTTAAAGAAATAAAACATTAAAACAGTAATGAAAGAAAAAAGAAAATACAATATGATGACGACATTACAATACAATAATCTTATAATCTTACTTTATTCCCTGAAGTCAACCTCCACAACAGTGTAATGTTATCTGTCCAAGCTGTACACTGCACCCCACTAGTGTTTTGATTATAAATGGTTAGGGAAGTGGTAGAGGACAGAGTCAGGATTTATATCAGCCTGAGATGAAGTACTGCCTGTGGCTCTCACACATTACAAGAGACTGTCGAAAACATGGCATGTAATGAGCCCCTGGCCAATATGTATTGGGAGCATTTTTGTACTTGTTTGTTAAAGATATCTACAAAGGCAGTCCTTTAGTTATGAATTAAGATGAATAAGTCAACACAGTGTGTAAGTAGTTGAGAAGGCAAGCAGTTTTAGTTTTACTACCACATGCTCACACACTTTATTTCGCTTTGGTATTTATTTTGAGGTCAAGTCATTTTTTATAGCTTCTAAGCACCTGTACAATCACAGACACTAACAATCACACTGGTCAGACCCCCTGATCAGTCAGTCAAGCCATCTAAAGTCAGGACGACAAGCTGTGGACTACGCATGTTGAAAACAATTCCACCTTTAAGCGTCTCCAAACTTGAAAGCCTTTCCATGATGCATGACGTAATCTCTAGGCAAAAGTCAACACCTTCTTGAGTCACTAATGGAAGAAGTTCATCTGCATCGTCCAACTGGAGAATCCTCCCTCTTGCCCATCTGATGCTCCTCTCAAGGGTCTCTAGTCTGAGGAACAAAAATGTGACATTTTTGACAAACTAATCTTAATTACATTCCCATCAATCTGTATCCAATTGAGCACAAGTGAGTGGAGCATGACTGAGTAGAACCTGAAGCTACATTGTTACAGTCACCTATAGGTTGTACAAGAGCATCATATCTGTATGGCTAGTTTGCACATTCACGGATTTATATTAGCTCTAATTTGACCGATATTGGGTGCAAGAGATTTTACAGAATGGGTGGGGGGGTGCGTGTGACATCCAGATTAAAACTAGTTAGTGTCATATCTTACAGAAAATACAGTTTCATAGTTTCGCATCATTGGGACTTCTGCAGTTTCTCTTCCATTATTAATGCCAGAACTGCTACTGCATTTACTAACTTCCTAGACAAGCTGCCCGTCCTGTTCATGTCCCCTTCATACAATGTCCCTCTTAACAAGTTTTTCCACGACACGTTGACTTATGAAGGGGTGGGGGGGAAATACATTCCAGCGATCCGTTTCAAACCGGACCAGCCGCCTCCCACCACCACAGCTAACAGTTAGCAGTCAGGAAACCCCTCCAGCACAGATGCTCCTTATTTAAAAACACAGTCAGTAAGGTTAATGTTCCATCGCCTAAAAATAATTAAAATGTAACGTTATATCAGTATCGAATGGGAGCATGCCAGAGAGGTTGAAAGAAAAAGGGGTTGGCCGGTTGGGGAATCTGGCACTCAGTTTCATGGTATTAACAGTAAATGTTGCCCTGTCTTTAATTGGGACTCTACAGTCGATGGTTTCTACCAAGTAATAAAAATCTGCTTCCCGGTATAACGTTAACTAAAAATAATAATTAAAAGTCATAACGTTAATGGCAGGAAACTCAATCACCAATGTGTTACAGTCCTAAAGCTGTCCGCTGAAACGTTAAACTTAAACATGTGACATTACAAAACGTAGTTAGTGATAAATGTTTAACAGTTATTTACTTAGCTGCGTGGAAAATATCTCCAATTTCCTACAATACCAGGCCTACAACCTGGCAGTTAGCTTGCTGGCAGCATAGGGAGACGTGGCTGCAGTTTCTTAGTAGAGATGCACTTTCAAACAGCATTGCTCAAGTTCTGTAACAAACCTCATCTACTTTGGTTGATTATTCAGAGCTTTTAATTAGGACGTGTCACACTGGTCAACAACTACAGACCTAAGTAGACAATTACCTCAAATCATCTTAACATCATCACCTGAGAACAACGTTAGCAGGCAGGACATTCAAAGTTCAGCCATTATGAAAATAGCTGTCAGTGACTTTAAGCCAGACCAGAAGTGGGAGCGTGAATAATGCCATCGCACATAAACTTGGCGAACTGTCTGTAAGTGTCATGGATAGGAAGTTTCAAATTTACAAGACAGGTGTTAGCTTCAGGGTACTTCCGCCCTGCGTCGTGAATGAAGTTCAGCGTTGGGTGAGGAGAAAAACCAAGAGCGGGTACTCTGTCGGCTCCAGAGGCAAACACCAAAATTTGCTCCATTGTGACCTCAAACACACCATCTGTAAAATAGTGAGGTAATACAATAATTAACATCTGATGATCTGCAGGTTTGTGTCAGCAAGTCAGAGTCACTCAAAAAGAGTGAATCCTTTATTTACCCTCCACATCTAGAAGAAAGTCTCTCCAGTACCCTTCCACTCTCTTCTCCAGGCGCCACCGGTTGCTTCCAGGAGGGGACAGTGTCACTTGGAACAGGGAGATCAAGTCTGTGGCCTTTAGAGGCCTCTCAGATGAAGAAAACACCTCCTTCAAGATGCTGGCGTGAATTTTCATCAGGTCCAGGAGACCAAGTGTGTTCAGTCCTTCAGAAAGTCTGTAAAGAACCAAAATGATTAGAAGGTGTATGTTTGTCCTGCAAGGTACCATGTCTCACACACACGATTTATACGACAGCATGTTAAGGAAAATACATTTAAAAAAGCACATCTGCCCAACACACCCCAGTGATGAGAACCAAGCAATTTCCATAGGTTAAGTCAATCAGGAGTGTCGCACAACAAAATTGTGACCGGTCAAGCAGTGGGCCCAATCAAACAGAAGCAAGTGCTCTATTAAACAGTATGTGGCACCATGCAGGTTTGTTTTTCCAGCAATAAATATTGATGTGAGCTCACCCAAGCATTTTCCTCAAAACATAAGTCAAATCTGGTCCAAGCACTGTAGCTCTGCCATCAACAAAATTAAGGAGTTAAAATGCAATTTACAATTTGTAGCCAGCATTACAGATAAAGTGTGGGACTATACACAATACTCACTGTTGGGAGGCTTCTTTTGTCCTTCCACGTAGAAACTTGTGGCAGCCTGAACCAGCCGGTCCCGTCCCTCCACGGTGGTGAGACGCCTCAGGGACCCCAACAAGGACAGGCTCTCTGCAGCTTCCTCAATGGCAGCTCTAGCCTCTGTTATATCACCGGCCTCACTGATCTTTATGACGTCCAATTCATTAGTAGAAGCAGGCCTTCAAGATACTTTCACTGTTTAGAGAAAATAAAATAAAATACAGACAAAATTCACATACCTTTCTGAGTTTCCACTGCAAATCTGGATCTGCTACCTCTTTGAGAGCGGGTGGTAATGTGGGTGTAGAGCAGAGGTTTTGGTAGAGCCTCTCCGGAAAGAGAAGGCAACACTCCTCCATGCAGCAGCGCCACAGCCATCATAACTCCATAGGTTCTGTAGAGACCTCTGTGTAATGCTGCATAATGGAAATGTAGAACAATACATTTTGCAGTGGTTAACAGGTGGCAAATCTCTGCAGAATAAGGTGTTTATAACTCAAATCTAAAATCTTAATCCGCCAGGAATACAATCAATTTGTTAGAATATGACTTAGATTAATGGCATGTGTGGGTACTAACCGTGGCTGTCCAGGGACAGGTTCTTACTGTGGCCCTGTAAATAGGCTGCTATCTCTGAGAGCAGTCGGAAAAACCCCCGTGTAGGGCCCCCCTCATCCACTGAACCTTCTGCTTGCATGAAGTCATCCATAAATATGACGCTTAATTTGGCCTCTGGATTGAAACTCCTTCTTGTAAAGGCTCGCATGGCACCATCCATTATGTTTTCTCTGCATACATTGATCATATTACTGCTGGGCGTCTCTCCAATCCAGACTTTTGATGCCAGAGTTGTCAGTAAGGTTTTCAGATCTGGTCTAGAACAACAACCACCAGAAACCTTTTTCAGGTGGGACTTGCAACATTCAAAATGTGTATGTAGCACTTTATTGGCCTGATGGCCGCGACTCATTTAATCCATTAATGGAAGTATGAAACTAGCACTTACTCGGTAGTTCTTTGACATGACTCAAATCCAGGAAGCCAGCAGTGGTATCAGAGGACCCAGATGAGATGTTTTGAGGAGGGTCTCTTCAGGAACCAGAGTGTCCTGACAAAACACAAACACCTGAGTAAAGACATTACCATTAAATACAACATTACAAAATATAGGCCTACAGCTTGCACTAACGTAAGTGTTTAACATACTTTACCTGGGCGAAGAGGGGACATTTTATAAAACACTGCTGTGTGCTTACCCTTTCCTGCTCAGTTTGCAGACTTTGTATGTATTCCTCATCTTGTCTTGTGAAGTGCACGCCACTCATGTAAATCCTAGAGGAAACATTAAAAATGTAAAAACATTATATTAGTAGTTTTATATTCAGTCCCTAGTAAAGACAAAAGCTTACATCAGCATCATCATCTGCTACTTCCACTCTCTCTGTGTCATGAGATTCACGTTCGAGCTGTAAAACATGCTTACTGTTACATTACAATGGCAACAATCGCTTGTCTTAACATTTCAAAAGGAAATTACTTTTGGTTGGGTAATAATTTTGATAAAAAATGTTAATTGGATAATGATAGTGCTGATAACTGTACTTACATCCCTCGCCATTGTATTAGGTCTCTCCAGGCAGTTTTGTGAAGTATGGACCTCCTGTACATCCTTCAAAATACCAGAACGCCCCATTTGTTGGCCAAAGATGCAATATGCCATTATGAAATATACAACAAGCCTAGAAAGAGCTTAAAATGGGTGCCCATATCATCTTGGTCCAGGTTTTGGCCAGAGTTCGAGACCTCTTCTGCATCCTAAAGACACAAAAACAACACGTATTGTTTATTTGATCTGGATGTTTACACTAGAGCCCGACTGATATGGGTTTTTGGGGGCCAATGCAGATTTTAAAGTGAAAAAGAACTGATATTTAGATTTTGAAAAGGATTTGGATAATAGACCGCTTTCTGGTATAAACTACACTTAGAACAGGCCGTTTTCTAAAACCTTTTCCTAATTGGATTATGTTAATAAAATAGATTACGGTCTCAACAACTGAACATTTAAACAACTGCTCATCAATAAATATTTGCTGCTAGAAGGTGGAACTTTTTCAGCCATCTGTAAACAGAAGCAGCATGTGTATTTTACCTTACACATATTGACCATTTTCAATGCAGCATATTCACATCTAGTTTTATCCCCTTACCAGCACTCTTAATTCTATCCAAAGCTACAAGAAACCATTTCTCAACCATATGGCTCTAAAACACACCGTCTACGATACAGTGACCTGCTCTTGAATGTCTCCAATACTACATGACTGTCTACAACCAGGACTTGCAACTTTGAGATTTCATTTCACTATAAATGAAGCTGATGTTTTCTTTTGTGGTTTTTGTGGTGACGCAGTGTTAACAGGGGAGCTGCAAAGCGCCACCTGGTGGGCAATCTATGACACTCATGACATGAGTGATCTAACTCAGTCTTCTTTTTTTAATAGTCATATTGGATGTTATAAACGGCAATTTAAATGTAATTGGATCAGATCGGCTGGCCGATACATTTGTCGGGTTCTAGTTTACGCCCACAATATACTGCTAAAATTATGCCTGCGTTACAGATTTGATGGTGGTAAAAACCAAACAAACAAAAACCATCTTGCTGTTCTCCAACCTGCTCTTCCAGACTCTCCTTTTAAAAAGTAGAGTGAAAGTTGCTATAACATGGTTCAGTTATATGCATCGGTGTTCCAGCGCATCAATAGGAATGAGCCATTACAGATTCAGATGATTAAGACGACATTCAGCTCAGGGTATGATCAGTGTACAGTACCTTTGGGAGTATATATATAAAGCTGATCGATTCAGCTCTCTGCTGGCTTTCAGCACAGATGGTGATAGTGGACAAACTTGAAGTCTTGTGGTTTCTTTATGACAATCTACTCTTGCCAACTCAAAATCAGTGTCGCCCACTCTTGGAAACGCATTTCTGAGGACAGCGTTGAACTCCTCAGCAGACAAGGACACTGGCACCTTAACTTTTCTTCTAAGCTTCCGCTACAATGAAAATTGCATAAAGAAAAATCACTACAAGGTATTTGTGAAGCAGTCTCTTCAGAACATACAATGCAGTGTTTCCCTTACTCAGTAGTGTAAATTACAGGCAGACCCATTTTGGATTTTACGTCTGATGCTATGAAGGAAATTGTGGGTGGAAAATTCCAGCAGACGAGCTCCGTCTTTTTAGCGACTTTATAAAACGTGGAAAAAGTTACCGGAGCAGACGCATCCAGGGAGAGAGATGGAGGAGAGAGGCGGAGAGAGGCGGGGCACGCCGCTGTGTTTGCAGCAGGTGTGTGCGCAAGCGTGAGGAAAAGGGAACTGAAGGGAAAGGGCGCAGATTCAATTATAGTGTAAGCTGTAAAATAAGTGATTAAAATGTCAAATAGAAAATGCCTCCCCACTGCCCAAGTTGTTTGTCTGTGGGAAACACTACAGTGCATATGTAATTAAACATACCTTTTTGTGGGTGGAATGTTTCCATATCAGGATGGAGGAGGAGACCAACTCTGAAAGTTGCAAGTCTTGTTTGCTCCCTTCTCCTCGGTCCTCTGATGGGAGTATTTTGTCTGAACATCCTCAGCCTGAAAAGGTGACAGAAAATGAGAGACTCGGAAATGCAAAGCCAGAAGCCCAGATAGTCAATGTCGCCGGGAAAAAACCCATAACATATCCATAACTAATGGCAAGAGGTAAATTAATGGCAATTAATATTAAGATAGGCCTATTAAATATAATACATGCAAGGTGGCCATTTAGGACATCCTCCCCTGCTTTAATCATAAGATGTACTATGTTAAACTTAAGACGGCGCTCGTCTGCAGAAAGGCAGAGTCCCAGCCTAATAAAGCGCTATTAATCCTTCATCACGGTGTGCCACAACCAAACTGAAAGGAAACAGTTTTGGCTGAACGCAAAAGCATCTCAGATAAATCTGATTTATATGGAAAAATTCAGCTCTTTGCCCCACAAATTTTACCAAATGGATCTACAACTGAGGGCTGACAAACGACAGAATCACCACCATGTAGCTACAGTCGGTGTCTATTCATAGTCGGGGGCCCGGCCAGGGGGGAAAGCTTGAACAGCACAGTTTTTAAACTCACGTGCTGATGTCAGCAAGGTGTCACGTCTTATACAGAGACCTTGCTGTCACTTGACAAAGATTTCACTGCCGTCAATAAATATTTTAAACTGAGCTGCTGAAACATTCGGCGTGAGTGCAGTCCTGCATTTATTAAAACCTTTAACAGCAGAAATGTTTCTATCAAAAGGTGTCATTTGCAGCATTTTTGCTGAGTTAGCTTGCTACATAGTTGGCTAATGTTGGCAAACACTACAACAACACTTCAAGTCTCCCCAATTAAAGTCACTGAGGCGACATCACAGAATATTTCATT